CAAGAAGACGCAAAGAGTCAAAAGTGAAAGCCTTCTGCAGTTGTCTGCCTTTGTTCTACGTTAGTATGACAAGCTGATATGATCCTGAGATTCGAAAGTAGAGAGGCTATCACTACATCAAGGACTAAAAAAACCATAATCATCCTAACCGAGTGGTCTGGGTAGAGTCTACGAAGTTCGAAGAGAAAAAATTTATATTTCACTCGTTTTCACTCATTTTTTCGGACAAAACTGAAAATTTCACGACGGATATCGTCTTATTTTGGTGGTCGAGGAGGCTTACATCAGACTCATTCGCTTGTGTGAGCCTGAGGAAGGAGAATGGATAAATTTAACACTTCTTATTCCCCACAACGCCCTCAATATCTCCAGGAAGGCAACACTAGTGTCTCGTCAATACCGTAAGGGTGCCGAAGATGGTAATATAGCACACATAATGCAACGTTTTCTCAATGGATATAGGCTGAGACCGCATATGCTGAATATGCCAACAGCAAAGGCTTCAGGGTCTCAGACGCCTCATGGCAGACCCTGCACCTAGTATCAGAAACCCATCACGTGACTCCAGTAGACTAAGGAATTAAACACACTATCCTGGCAGACCATGATGAATTCCTCAGTTTTCGATTTCAATCCACTCAATCTGAGGAAGACAAAGGTTAGTTGCCCCTTCTGGAAGTGACCCGCTCTATTTGGACTTCGGCTTGACTAGATGTTATCATCATCATTGAAAGTATTATGATAACTATATGGTCCTCAATCCCATTTTTTGGTTGTAGTTTTTTGGATTCGATGAATTTTTGAATCATTTCATTGATTTCATCAAATTGTTTGTGCCCCAGGTGGAGTTTTTATCATGGCAGAGGGTTAATTGACTGCCCCCGATAAACTGAAAACGTTATTTTCCGCATACACATTGAACATGGAGTTGTAGAAGTAGAAACCGCCCAGACCGTAATTACTGTTGGTTTTCAATTCGATGGATGGGTAGAAGTTGGGGTAAATATTCGTTTTGAGGGCACCCGGCGATTTTGAAAAAATTTTTGAGTGTACTTATGTATTTTGATACGTAGATTACGAATCCGAAAGAAAAAAGCAGCGCTATCCCTTATTTACAAAGTTACGGATCTTCAAAATTCAGAAAAGTGCAACTTTTCACCCTTCTTTTTCACTATTTAAAAACACAAGCATTTAGTCACTAGGTCACCTTTACACCTAATGCCTCCCTAATTGACACTATTCAATTCAACAATCAACATTTTTCTTAAAAATAACTTAATTTTGAAACGAATGCTTGCATCAGTCGTACCAACTATGCCATTAACCATACCCAGATGTATAACCAAAAAGCAGCTCCATACATTTTTCAACATTTTTATTGGAAAAATGTTGATTGTTAAAGTGAAAAGTGTCAAGGAAGAAAGAATAAGGTGTAGAGGTGACCTAGTGAATAAATGCTTGTGTTTGTGAAAAAGAAGGCTGAAAAGTTGCCCTATTCTGAACTTTGAAGAGCCGTAACTTTGTAAATAAGGGAGAGCGCCGCTTTTGTCTTTCGGATTCGTAATCTACACATCAAAATACGCAAGTACACTAAAAATTTTTTTCAAAATCACCGGGTGTTCTCAAAACGGATATTTGCCAAAGTTGGCGCTCAGCTCGCTATAATATCCCGACACTGATGATGGATTTTCACTGATTTATGTCTTTTCATTCCTGACAGGAGAAATTGTGGCGTGATCGATGATTATTGGGTGGTTTATTCGGCTCATCTATCTCATTTATCGTGCCTTTCATTCACATCATTCACTTAACAGTAACAACAGAAGATTTTTCTCGTAGCTGGACCATCATTCACATTGGAATTATTGCTGCTGGAATCATAGTAATGATCCTAGCAGTACTGATACTTCATGATATTAATATTATTTTGTAGATTTTGTGGCAGGTTTTTCCATTCAGATGCGATTTCATGTGATGCACACCCAATTAATACCTCATTTGACATAACGTCGAGAAGTTCTTCATTCATTTTTCGTTAAGTGCATTATCTGAAATTGGTTATCAATGAATGACTCATTCTCTTGACGTGTTCCCGGTCCTACATGGGTGTTATTTCTATGTCTTATTCTGTAGAAACTTCAGACACAAAATACTCAACCATACTGTATCGAATTGTTGCTGACGCTCATACTAATATGTAAACCATCAGAACTTTCGTAATATTTCACTCAGGCGCCACATTTTCTGTATGTCCCTGGACCACGTCGGCCATCCAAAACTATGGCAAATCCATATCGGTGTGCTTCTGATTTTGGTAGATTTGGAAACGGCCAAAACATTTGAACCATGCACACTTCTTATGAGAACACAATTCCCATTCCAACCCAAAGCAAACTATAGGTTACATTCGAAGTAAACATTCAAGGGTGTATGACAGCAAAAGTTAAACGTCATGTAACCAGGGCAAAGTCGAATTTTAAGGTCGAACTCCATCCACTTAAGATCATACGACGTGCACATCGATCAAGCTAGTGTGACGTCATTAAGGTCGAAGTCGAGTGGTGGCAGGAGGTTGAGAACCGACATAAGCACTTTATTACAGTATGTTGACACTATTTCAGTTTTGTGTCACACAAAATTGAATGAGTTGAAAATAAAATAAAATTGTAAAGCATTCGTTACTCACTATAGATTGGCAAAATTCTCGAAGGCATTTTGAAATCAGTGGCTGGGCTGATACCAATGATTTTCAGCCTGCATGTACAAATTACACTCTCAGTTTTTGTAACTGAAAATGAACTAAAAATTGAATACAAAGGCAATGCGTAGTAGATATTACTGAAAACTAAGATCCCATAAAGATTAGCTAGGACATTTAAATTATGAAAATATCCTTTCACGATATGAAAAATATCAAGTATCTACTGGACATATTACTCGGTCATCAATTGCCAAAAGAGTTCGTGTTAATGAGCTTGTTTTGATAGTATTGCCAAGGTTTGAAGAGAACATAAGTATTCAGTACACAGTCACTAAAAATGTCAAAAATTATTTTTTTTACTTATTCGTTTGACTGTATAATAATAATAATAAGACGTTTATTAATCCGAATTCACAATTACATGACCAGTATGATAATACATATATTTTGTGATATATAGATTAATTGGCCTATTGTCAGCTTTCTGATACGAGATCAGGTGCTGTTGAGGCCCAGAGGGAAAATGCATATACTGAGACTAAGATTAAGATTATTATATTTCGAATATTATGAAAACTGCCAGTTGAGTAGTAAATATATTAATGTTGAGGTAGCTTCTCTTTTGTTATTCTTTTGAGTGACGCCATCGATTTTGTGAATTCAGCAATCCGGCATTTATTCAGAAGATTTGCCGTGCAGTATGTGAAGGAACGTTTGAATATCTCTTTCTTATGGGAGGGTATAGTTATAATTCCTCTTCTACGAATATTTACATTATGAACATGGCTTCTAAAGATGATTTTTTTGTGTGTATAAGGTTTTTCATATCTTGAGATTTTATAAAAGAAACAGGTTGTATGAAGTAGTCTTTGATTATACATATTCATATGTTTGTTTGTGATATAGAACTCGACAAATATTTTTCAATAAGTGCTGGTCCACTGGGAATATTTGATAAGCTTTAGTTTGGTCTTTTGGATACGTTTATGTATCATCATTTTTTTTAAGGGAATCCAGAAGATATCACATAATGAACGATGAAGATCTCAAACTTGTTAGTAATCTGAAACGCACTGTAAAATTTCATTATACATTCACTGTCATTTTAATTTTTTTTTTCAATTCGCGCATTTTGGTTCTTTTGGAGGACTTTCATTTATTTTAGGGTTATATCTCCATAGAGTAGCGTACAAACTCAGCCAGAAGTAGTTCGAATTCCAATAAAATACCCGTTATAATGAAAAATAGTCTGGAAAACTTGAGACCATTAAATACAATACTACTTTCACATGAGAATTTGAATACATGAAAGAAAAAAGTCCTTCTTAGACAATTACTGTCATATGAACATTGAATTAGACGCAACCGATGAAGTACAAACTGAACGTGAAGAAGTGATTTAGTGGCAGCAAAGAAAGAAAGTTTTGATAAAAAAAATTAAGAGATGTAACAAAATAATCCAAATCGTACATCAAAAGGGAGTAGATCCCGCCATGATATATCATGGAAAATGATATATCATATAAACAAAACTTTCAATAAAGAGAATAGACCGAAAAAGAGTTTGGTGAAATATAAAAGCAAAGAGTCAATAAAAATTTTCAGAGAGACTTAGTTATAAAAAAGACAAGTGGCTTTTTGTTGTTTCATCATTGAGGATGATCACGTTGGAGTTATCTACCTTGAATTTTTTTTATTATGGGTTAGGCTGGAATTCCTAATTTTTTCGAATACTACATTGTTTGTCCTTTCCATCGCCCTCTGGCCTCCTGTTGAAGTTCGACAATATTCCGACACCCTACAACCGCTAATTCATTATGTGAATATTATTATAATTAATTGTTGGAATTTGTGTCCAACGCACTTCTGTGAATTTTCGAAAGCAATTAACTTACTTTTATCCACCATACATGTAGATCTGTGATCATTTTGATAACACACTTCAACATGGAATATGTTGTATTCAAATCAATTGAATGAGCCAATTGAAGCATACTGCTATATAAGAAATAATTTGTTATATGTTTTTGATGATAACAAAAATAACGTGTTTCAAAATATCCTTGTTTATGCAAATTCCATTCTTATATTGCTGGAAACCTCCTCGGTTTCTTAATTTAGTGATAACATGTGACTGAAATATGTCAGAATACTTTCTAGACATTTGTACGTATCTTTTATCACTCCCAATAGTGAAGATACCGAGGGTATCTATTTTTTAATTAGTTTTTTTGAAAGCATGCCGGATTCACGTGCTGTCATATCCAGCGTATGCTCTGAATATGTTCAAATTCACCACTTCCATCGGGGTTCAAGGTTCAAGCCTATCATTCGTTACAGAAATGTTAAGAAAAATGGTGGGGTGAATGAAGTGAATGTTTTTGCCGGAATAAATCATCAATACATTGTAAACAAGTTTTATGTGTGGGTGTTTGTGTGTGGCAATTCGCTTCAAACGAATTTGAATATCCGCAATGAAGGTTTTTGGGTTATACTCGATGTTATCGGTAATTGTGGTTACTATAGACGTATGCGTTGCCAACGTACCAGCAGCTTTTCAAGTATTCTATACTGATTCAAATAAAGACGATGCACTGGAAAATAGTGTTGATGGTGAAAATAATTTTTCCGCCACAGAAAATGAATTCACCAAGCTTAGAATCGAATACATCAAAAATCAAATTTTGAAAAAGTTGAGGCTCAAAGAGAAACCCAATATTTCTGTAACCGATTTGCCAAAGCCAGTTAAGGAATATGAACACTTTTTGCCATCACATGATGCAAATATCCAGAGCAGCTTTTCTGATGATTTTTATGGAAAAACTACTCAGGCCATTATATTCCCATACGAAGGTTAGTATTATGTTACAATAATCGGTATTATTACGTTACAACAATGTTAACTCAAAAATGAATTGAAATTAACTAAACTTTAATTATTTAATAATGTAATGAGACGAAATTATTTCAAGCCAAAAAGATGTTGCATATCATTTCAAAAATATATGTTGACTGAAAAACAGAACGTTAAACATATTTTTCATAGTTCAGTAGTGTCAGAAATTTTAAAATTCATAAGAAAGGTGGAAGCTATGGAAAGAAAGCATTACACATTGTACTTGACGTTGAAAACACTGAGAGCATAGTTCATCTTGAAATTTACAACATAATCATCATTTTCATATTTCATTCTAAATGTGTCAATGTTCCATTCTGAACGTTAAAATTCCTGTAAAAATTTTCAATATGCAAATGAGCAAAGTGTTCCCATAAATAAAGGTGAGCACATTCATTCAGATTTTTAGTAAAATTATACAAAAATAAAAGTTAATTATGAATTATAAAAAAGTAACCTCGTCATAAATGATTTACTAAATATTATGAAACATTTTGTTAGCTGTTGTTCATAACTTTGATCGCGTGGACCTTCGGTGTTTAGGATTTCCGAGATTTTCTAATAAAAGTTCTTACGTAGTTGGATACTTTTGATTCATAGAAAAATCGTATTACAAACTGTAAATACAGTTCGCCAAAATTTTAGTCAAATTAACTGAAATATACTTTGATAGTGTATTCTTTTCCAAAAAATGTAACTTGTTCATTTATCAACCAAGTGAGTGTAGATTATTACAATAGATTAATAGATCGATGGAAACCACTACCAAATTGATTGAGCCATTTTTGGGATTAGAGCACACAACGCACAGACAAACATATATAGCCAACACATAATATTTAGTCTAAGTATCGATTTAAATGGAAGAGGGAATATTTTTAGGAAAAAATAATTTTTCCGAAAAAAATTTTTGGCATTTTACTTCTTCATCATTAAACGAAAATGTGGGAAACTTGCGGAAAAAGGAAGAAATAAAATAAATACAACAAACGCTCTTCAATAATATACGAATATGTAAATCATGCATAGAAGTTCCTGTCAGATACAAACTGAAAAAAACTCTCTTGAAATAACTACTTTCACATGAGAATTTGAATACATGAAAGAAAAAAGTCCTTCTTAGACAATTACTGTCATATGAACATTGAATTAGACGCAACCGATGAAGTACAAACTGAACGTGAAGAAGTGATATTCGTATAATTCAATCTTCAAATAAAAGTAGTTGTTCCGAATTTTTTTTTTTTCGCTTAATTCAATATTTATATGAACGAACTTGTTTTGAGAGGATTTTCTTTTCCAGTTGGTATCCGAGAAAATATCTGTGCATGATCTACATATCTTCATGAGGAGTATTTATTGTAATTTTTTTTCTTTTTTTCTTCGGAAGTTTCCCACATTTTTTGTTTGGTGATGGAGAACTAAGCCATTTTCCTAAAAAATGTATTGACTGATTTTCTGTTACTTTTCAAAAGTTGTGTGCGAGCGAGCATGAATTCGTATAGTGCCGATTCCTTAGAATTACGAGCCACGTAGTCTTCGTCATGTCTCTTGCAGATTGAGCTTTGAACCGCATATTTTGTGGTTAAAAATAACCAGATTGGATATAACTTACTTCAATGCAAATGTGAACACGAAAAAAAGTTACAGCCCTTGTAAAGTACAACATGAAAATCGATTTTTTCCAATGTTTTATGGCTTTCTCATCTTGAAGCATCTTGTTCATATAAAATCACGAAATCTGTTCATCCCATGAACATTTTAGGGGGGTATTGAATCCCTAAAACCACTATTCTATGCATTAGAATTGAATCCATATTGCGACACCATTGGTTTAATACATATTTTTTGATTTTTTTTACCTTGTTGCACTTTTTCGAAAAACCAGTTTTCATCGAGATGTAGGCTCTTTTTCATTATCCTTAGAAAATTCATTAGATGGCTGTTCGACACATGTTGTTCCTGTAGATACATAACAAACAGTAGCTTCAACAATGACATATTGACAAAGGAATAGTGCAGTAGGTGCAAAGCGTTATGCGGAAAAATATCTCAATCGGATATCACCAAACAGACGATTATTTCTTTTCATTGATCGTCGTTTATGAGAGACCTGTAGTTGGTGGTAATAGTTGTTGTCCACATTTGGATACAAACGATGGGAAGGAGATTTTGGAATTTGTCGAAGAAAACCACACAATACAAGTGTAATAGCTGCTCAATGATGGTTACATGGTGGTTTGGGGTAGATTGAACGAACAACATCTTCACTTAGCAACCGTTCAAGAATTACTAGATCTGTTCTGTTCTGTAAAATCTGTTTTTCCGTTAATCAGCTATCGACTCTATATGAACGACAACTCTCACAAGTTGAGAAACTTGTGCGAGCTAAGGACTAACGAGGTCTTACCTTTTAACGTGTGATTCCTAACACAGATGATGATTACCTTAAAACAATGGGATTTTGCGATTAGCTCTCAACGGAAAACAATCAAAATATCAGTTTCATTAATCAAATGTTATTCACCGATGAAGCTACCTTCAATAGAAATGGCATTATGAATCACCATGAGGCACACATATGGGCCATAAAAAACCCTCACGCAGAAACAGACTCATCACCAAAACACTTTCGAAATCAATGCCTAGGCAGGCATTGTGAATAATAATTCAATAGGACCAGTATATATTCCAAATAATGTAAATGGTGCAAATCACTTACATTTCTTACAGAATGATTTACCAGAATACTTGAAAGAGGTAAATTTAGGAATGCGGCAAAATATATGGTATTTACATGATGAAGCTTCAGCTAATTTCGATAACGAAGTTAGGGAATATCTTTTCGGTCTGTACCCTGGACGTTGGATTGGAAGGGGCCCAGATGCACCTAATTCTTGGCCAGCCAGAAGTCCAGATCTTAACCCTATTGACTTTTGCTCCTGGGGTTTCATTAAAAGGACGTGTATTCTGTTGAAATAATTGGCGAATAACAATTGAGACATCGAATCATTGAAAGTGAAAATCGATTTCATCAGAAGCCTTCCAAATCGGTTTTCCTTTCAAAATGGTGCTGAATGTGTATTCAGGAAAATGGAAGCCATTTTTAAACATTTACTTAAGGAAATACCATACATTTGTACATACTTTTTGTACCTGCAAAACATGAATACTCAGTTATTATAACTTATTTTCTATAACTCAACATTTTTGCCGTATCTCGATAAAAACTGGCTTTTCGAAAAAGTGCTGAGCCACACTTTTTTTTTCAAAAATGATGTATTAAACCAATGGTGTGACAAAACTAATTCAATTGTTACGCATAGAAAAGTTTGGTGGGTTTTATGGGTTCAATACCCTCCTCTGAAATTTGTATGAGCCGAATACATTTCGTAGTTTCATATAAAAAAGATGCTCTTACGATAAAGAAGCTATGCATCCATTTTTATTCCAAAATAATGAAAAATTCATAGAATAATGGAAAAAATCATTTTGTACTTTGAAAGCGCTGTAACTTTATTTTTGTGCACATTTGCATTAAGGTAAGTTATATCCAATCGAGTTATTTCTTACCCCAGTATGTGTCGTTCAATTTATGATCTACCCGTTTGTTACATTCTGTATATTGGATGGGTGACGTTAAACGTGTTCGATTCCTGGGTATACTTCAACTGAACCAGCGAGTTAACCAAATAATATCACTAAAAAATTGGGGACAAACCTGAGAAGTTCTGTTTGGATCTGACCTTGACCAGGTTTTATTATCAAAGTGGACGAATCCACAACGGGGGTCATTCGAGAATGCATCAAATACTTGGTGAAAGATGATGAAAGATAACCAAAGGGTGATGACAAGTAACTCACATAGCCAGAGAAGCGGCATCTACACTTCTACCAATTTTGTGTGACAGATTTTGAAACTATTTGTAGTGTGAAGTTCCAAGTAAAATGAATCAGACGCACGAGTATACAGGTTAGTCCATCAAAATAGTCTAGCAATATCCTGAGACCCGTATATTTTAGTTTTCAGGGGACCATATGCTATGAAAGAACATTATACAATTGATTTTCCAATATTTACTGAACCTCTTATTCATGAGAAAAACAGTGTTTTTGAAATAACAAATATTATCCGACTTCATCTTCAGTGAAATGGCTGATGTGGAGGGATTGTTATTTTTGTAGTTTTTCCTTTCGATTGAATAAAACATGGTTCATTCTATCGTGAAAACGGTGGAAATAACTGAATTTGTATTCTTTAACAAAATCAGTGTCGGGAGCTTCAGCAACTTGGTTCAATGACGAACATGCATTATCGTTCTCCAACAGTTATACTGGAACTCGTAGTTCCCCCCGTGCCAAATTTCAACCCCATATATTGCAAATATGAGATTTTCACTTGAAAGTTTACAAAACCGCGATACGTGTTTCGTTATACAATAACATCTTCAGGCGTCTGTAGAATTTTTCAAAAGTTGAGAAAGAACCGTATTTTTGAATATTCTTCTTTGGCACGGGGGATTCTCTCTGTCTACATACTATCATAAAAAGGGTTTATGCATCAGCGAGTTGAGAAAAAGATTGATCATAAAAGACTGTGAAATTTTGTGAAAGTTTGTTCAAAGAATATGAAGTATGTACTATTTATTTGAATATCCTTTTTTCTCACGTCGCTAATGCATGACCCCGTTTTTATATGATAGTATGCAGGTGGAGAATCCTATGCGGCGGATTTCAGACCCTAATACTGCAGAACTTTTTGAAAGTTCAAAAAAGCAAAATTCTTGAAAATTCATACCCCTGTTGTTTTCCAATATTTTGTGACATGAAACCACTCATTTTTTTGTTATTTTCTTCATTTTCGAGAAAAATATAGCATATGAAAAAAATAGCATCTTGGGAAATTTTCACCATTTATAAGGAAAATTGAAAGAAATGGAAGTTAACTTTGAAATAA